GGGAGCCTCAATTAGCCTCGCCCCTCTAGAGTGCCTCGGATCGCCTCTTGGGCCCCCCCAAGAGGCCAAAATCCTTCCAAAACCTAAGGAAAATCAATGTTTTGTGCTTTCTCGCCTTTTCGCTCTTGGAGCAGTCTTGGGCCATCTTGGGCGTCCCAACGCGTCGCGGAACGCCCCGTCCAGGTCAGTGGGGAGGGGTAAGGGGAGGGGTAAACCCCTCCCCGAAGGGAAAGAAGGGGGGTTGGCAGAGGAAACGCTCTAGACCACCTACGCCCTAAAGGGCTGGTGGGATTGCCAGAAAAACAAGATTCTGTATTGATTCTAAACGAAACGACAGTTTACTAAACAGAAAAACACAACCAACAGACCAAATGACATTGAATGTAAGTTTATATGGTCGGGGTCTTGGCTTGCCAACCTGGGGCATCAACCGCGCGGCGACGTTCGTGGGCGGGTCGATGGCGGCCCCCAGCTTCCAGGGCTCTCTGCCCACGCGGCCGTCGTCGCAGGCGATTCGAGGACCGACGCCCCCCCTCGGCAGCCCCAAACATGGCCTTTTGGGCCCCTCTCGGGGCGTCCCCAAAGCGCTCTTTGGGCCATCTTGGGGCTCGTTTGGGCTTCTCTCCGGGTCTTCAGGGGCATACTTGGAGCTGTCTGAAGCCCTGGGAGGCCATCGGAAACGAAAAAGCGAAAAGGCACACATTATTGATTTTCTGTCGGATTTTGAAGGGGCGCGGCCTCTTGGCGGTCTCCTGGGGAGGCCCCGTGGCCACTCGAGGCCGTCTTGGAGCGGTCTTGGGGTCTCTTGGCGGCCTCCTGGGGAGGCTCCGTTGCCGCTCCGAGCCGCCTTTGAGCGGTCTTGGGGCCTCTTGAAACATCTTGGGGGCCGGACTGAGCCACCTCGGGCTATTTTGAGCCATCTTGGAGGTCATCTCGGGCTCTCGGATGCCCTCCTAGAGCCATCTTGGGCCATCCTGGATGCTCTGACCGCTCGCGGGGCGCCCCGCCCAGGCCCTGACAGCCCTGTGCATGTCCGTATGTTGAAGCGCACGTCGTGTGAGGCGTTTGGTGGAGCGTCCTCGCGTCGCTAGCTGTTTGTTTGGCTTCATATCAGGCCATCAGAGCGGTTTCAGATTGCAGTGTTGCTTTGCTGTCGTTGGTTCTTCCGTTGAATGCGCGTAGTGGGGGGGGATCGCCTTGTAGCATGGGCCCCCGCAGAGGGGGCGCACGCTTGGGTTCTCTCCCCCAACTGCCTCTGGCGGATGGTTCTTCGCCTTTTTGTTGGGGGCCTGCGCGTTGCAAGCGGGTGGGCCCAGCAGCATCGGCCCGCGCAGAAGGGGCCGCGCGTCTCGGTTCTTCCAGCGCCGACGCCGCGAGCGCGCCTTGCGCTGGCAGGTGCTGGGGAGGGTCCACCCCGCGGCGTAGGCCCCCACAGGGGCGGCGCACGCTTGGATGGGCTTGTCGGTGTTTTTTCGCCGACAGGGCGGACGGCGCGCGTGTTCCGCGCGCGCTCGCGACGGGTCCGCGCTTCCCGTCTCCTCTGTGTTGCTGGAGGCTTGACCCGGTGATGCAGGCCCTGTCCCTTCAGCTTTTCGGACGGGGCGCACGTTTCGGCTCGGGCGTTCGTGCGCGTGGCCCGCTGCGGCTGGCAGTCGATCTATCGGTGAGCGCACATCCCGAGGGAACGGCCCTTGTCTCGGGCAGCAGTGCGAGCGGGCGCCGATGATATTTCCAGGCACGTGGGATCATCGTCGTCATCATCATCATCATCATCATCATCATCATCATCATCATCGTCATCGTCATCGTCATCGTCATCACCATCAGCATCATCAGCATCATCAGCATCATCATCATCATCATCATCATCATCAGCGGCTCTGCACCGTGGTTACGCTGTGGCTGGCGGACGCCGCAATCGCGGCCCTCGGCTGCTAGCCTGCCGCCAGCGGCGCGATCAGACAGCGACTTGACCTCGACCACTCGGAATCATCATTATCATCATCATCATCATCATCATCATCATCATCATCAGCATTACTATTATTATCATAATCGTCGTCGTCATCGTCGTCGTGATTACCACTGACATTTACAAATACTTTTAGCACCAATGCCACCGTCATCATCATCATCATCATAAACACCAGCCACAGCATCATCATCAGCATTATCAGGGTTCTCTCTGGGGATCACCCGTCCATGGTAGAACGGCACAGATATGATTAGCATGGCCCCTGCGCAAGGATGACACGCACAAGTCGAGAAGGGAATCCAACCGTCACCACCACCATCATTCGCAGCATCATCTTCAACATCAGAAATACCATCACCACCACCGACATCTGCATATGCATCAGCATCAACATCACCATCATCACCATCGTCAGCATCATCATCATCATCATCATCATCATCATCATCATTATCATCATCATCATCATCATCATCATCATCATCATCATCATCGTCATCATCAACATCATCAGCATCATCATCATCAGCAGCATCAGCATCATCATCATCATCAGCAGCAGCAGCAGCATCATCATCATACTCATCATCGAAAGAGCGTGTTCTACCGCTGCTGGCGGAAAGCCGAGGGGGGCCGCTGGGGTTCCCAACCCGCACCCCCCTTGAAAACCAGGGGGGGACCACTACGGTTTCGACCCCCCCCCCAGTCAATCATGTAAAGGGGGGGGTCATTACCGGTTCGAACCCCACCCCACCCACTCCTCCTCGCCGCCGGCAAACGATCCCGGCTCCTTGGGACAGTGGGACATTGTGACAGTGGTGGGGTCGGTGGTGGTGGGAACAGTGCTTCGGGGACAATGGGACAGTGTTGGGGACACTGAGATACTGATGGGGTCGGTGGTGGTGGGGACAGTGTCGAGGGGACACTGGGACAGTGGTAGGGACGGTGGTGGTGGGGACAGTGGTGTGGGACAGTGGTGGGGACAGTGGGGACAGTGGGACAGTGGGACAGTGGTGGGGACGGTAGTGGTGGGGACAGTGGTGAGGACGGTGGTGGGACAATGGGACAGTGGGGAGAGTGGTGGGGACAGTGGGGACAGTGGGACAGTGGTGGGGACAGTGGGGACAGTGGGGAGGGGACAGTGGGACAGCGGTGGGGACAGTGGGGGCAGTGGGATATCGGTGGGGACAGTGGGGACAGGGGGGACAGTGGGACAGTGGTGGGGACACTGGGGACAATGGGGAGAGTGGGACTGAGGTGGGGACAGTGGTGGGGACAGTGGTGGGGACAGTGGTGGGGACAGTGGGGACAGCGAGACACTGGTGGGGGGACAGTGGACAGTGGTGGGGACAGTGGGACAGTGGGACATTGATGGGGACGGTGGTGGTGGGGACAGTGGTGTGGGGACAGTGGGACAGTGGTGGGGACGGTGGGGACAGTGAACCAGTGGTGGGGACGGTCGTGGTGGGGATAGTGGTGAGGGCGATGGTGAGGACGGTGGTGGGACAATGGGAGCGGTACAGTGGGGATAGTGGTGGGGACAGTGGGGACAGCGGTGGGAACAGTGGGGGCAGTGGGACAGTGGCGGGGACAGAGGGGACAGGTGGACAGTGGTGGGGACTGGGGACAGTGGGGGGAGTGGGACCGTGGTGGGAACAGTGGTGGGGACAGTGGGGAGTGGGGACAGTGGTGGGAACAGTGGGGACAGTTGGGACGGCGGTGCTTGGGACAGCGGTGAGGGCGGTGGTGAGGACGGTGGTGGGGGTCCGGCCGGGAGTCGTTTGTCGGCTGTGAGTGGGGGGTGAGAGGGGGGGTCGAACCAGTAGTGACACCCTCCGCTTTTCTGGGGGGGGGGAAGGGGGTTCGAACCAGCAGTGAAGCAGTGATCCCCCCCCCTTGGTTTCCGGGACAGGGGCGGGGTTAGGGGGGGGGGGGCGGGGAAGGGAGAGGGTGGGGGGGGGTTCGAGCAGGGGGGTTTTCGGAAGGGGGGGGGACCCCTGGTCTCCGGAGGAGGAGGGGAGAATTTTCCACAGTAGAGCGGCGGTGGATCACGCTCTCTCATCATCATCGTCATCGTCATCGTCATCGTCATCATCATCATCATCAGCATCAGCATCAGCATCAGCATCAGCATCATCATATCATCATCATCATCATCATCATCATCATCATCATCATCATCATCATCATCATCATCATCATCATCATCATCATCATCATCATCATCATTTTCAACTGCACACCCATCATCATCGTCGTCATCATCATCAGCATCATCATTATCATCATAATCAGCATCATCATTGCCTTCATTATTATCACCACTCTCATCATCATCATCAGCATCATCATCATCATCGCAATATGCCGCATCACCATCCCCATCCTCGTCCTCCTCCTCCTCCTTATCAGCATCAGCTTATCATCATCACCATCCGCAGCATCGTCATCAACCGCATCGTCGCCACGATCATTGTCCTTCACGTCGTCATCCACCTCCAGCTCGGTTCTCCTCTTCGCCATGATTATCCACATTCAACTTGTCCTCCTCCCGCGACCATTTGATCTCTACCTCTCAGGGTGTATTGCGATGGGAATTCCAACGGAAACCGACCCAATTATGGCGACGAGGAGCCTATCCAGGGGGCACAAAGGAACCAGACATCGCCAAAGGCCTTGATCGTCCTCCTCTCCCCCCCTCCCTGTCCCCACTCGCCCTGCCCGCCGCCACCTCCTCCCCCGCGAGCGCAGCCCAGGGCGATGACCTCGACGGCGACGACGACGACGACGACGACGGCGACGGCAACTCTTACGGCGGCGACGACGACGACGACGACGGCTTCGATCACGACGACAACCTCGACGGCGGCGTCGGCGGCGGCAACGACGACGACGACGACTTCGACGACAACGGGGACGACCTCAGCGACGACGGCGACGACCACGACGTCGGCGACGAGACGCAGCGCACGGTGCCGGGACCCCCCCCCCTGGCGCGTGCGCGGGGGGCTGCGCGGAACACCAGGCGCTCGTCGCCCGGCAGCAGGAGCTCGCGGAGCACCAGGCGCAGGCCGGCATTGCTGCCCCCATCGCTGCTGTTTTCCGAGGGGTTCGTCTTTTCTGCAGGATCGAAATGGGCACATGCAGAAATGATGGTGACGAAGACCTACAGCAGTTCCTGGCCATTTTGAGCAAGACTCGCCGTTGATGGCGCAGCGTGTGCGTTTCATTTGATACATAGTTCGCCTGCCACACAGCGGACGCTGGTCGTTTTGGACATCGCTTGTTGTCGGGCACCGTATCGCAGTCGCCTACTGCGAATCACCGCCGCCCCCTGCCTTTTTGGAAACGCCTACGTGGCCAAACGTTGAGGCCAGACCTGCCAAGCTATCGGACCATGCATTCCCCGAATCGGTTTGGAAAGCCTTCGGGGAACACGTGGGCATCTTGAAGGTTATCTTGGCCGCCTGGAGGCCAGTTTGACCCTTGCGGGCCTTCTTGGAGGACGTCTTGGAGGGCTCTTGGGCCGTCTTGGAGGCCATCTTGAGCGTTTTGGAGGCCTGTTGGGCTGGAAGTGCTGCACGAGAATGGTAAGCGTTCCGTCCATCGCTGTTTACCCTCAAGTCATTTTCCACCTAGAGGTGGATGGCCGACCTGGCTGGCGCCTTGGTCGGTCAAACGATCGCCTGGGGCGCAGGCGTCGCGGGCCAGGCCATAGGCACCTGGCTGGGAGCGCGCGGCGGCGGCTCAGAGGGCACCTGCAATTGAAGGTTCGAGGGCGGCGGTGTCGACACAGCCCTGATTGCACTACTGCAGCGACAGCTGGACCGGTGCGGACCTGAGACTCTGTCGCGGCCTGCACCAGAAACACCGGCGACTGCGGATTGCGAGGCCAGGGCTTCGGATTGTTCACGCTCCTGTTTGGGTATCTCGTCTCGTTCGTGCTGGGCGTGCTGGGCTTGAGGGCTTGTGACGTTCGAGCGCAGCTGCCAAGGTCTCGCGGGGTCACAGGGGCGATTGCGAAGCGCAGGAGGACCACTCTGGGACGGCTGCAGAAGTTCGGTCGGGTCCTCGCCTGTCACGACCAGGCATATGATTACTGGCACGAGCGGCCCCTGCTCAAACAGCTGGGGCCGACGCGGTGGATCATTGTCACCCCACACTTCGATATGTACGCCGAGGAGTTGTCGGAGGCCATCGACGTGCGAGAAGTCGGGCCATGCGGCGGTGTCGGAGGCATCCGCGGCGACGTGCTGCGGATCGACATGGCTGAGTTCCGTCGCCGTCAAGAGGAGCTCGAGGCCGCTGCGTCGGTTGCGTATCGGTCATTCGGCACGAGGAGGAGCTGGCCCTGGGGGCCGTCGGAGGCGACTCTGCACCTGCGGGCGATGCTGCCGCTGCTAAGGAACCTGGAGGTGCGTATCACGCCCGTGCTGCATCACCTGTGGGCCACGCCTTCTCACGTGGGACATGGGTGGCGGCTGAAGCGCGTGGGGGCTACCAGATTGGCAGCGAGCTGGTGGAAGTGAGGTGTGCGTGTGCTCTGGGGGATCGTGCTATCCTTGGACTGGCCGATGGTAGTGCGCTGGCCGTTGGCGCCCCTGGCTCTGTGAGCGCGCCCCCACCGCGTGGACCCCTGCAGGACGTGCGCACTCTGACGGTGAAGACCGACATGCCGGGGAAAAACAGCCGCGGCTTTGTCGAGGCAGTGCAGGCGATGACGCCAGAGTCCATCCCTGGGTAGCCCATCAGTGGGCCTCGGACCTGCCAGTGGTTGTTGACGCAGCGAGTGAGGCTTGGGCACGCGGTGCACGGGCATGCATCGTCGTCTGCGGTGGAGGCAGGTCCGGGCGTTGACGCCTGATGATCCAGGTGTGGACACGCATGCTTTTTTGAGTGACGTGATCGACGTAAGTTGCCAGGTGGATCAGGCGTGCTCGCCGAACATCGCCTGTTTCGAAATGGCGCGCAGGCGACGCCGGCTGCGGTGGGGGGGTCTTCGGCGCCGCGCTGAAGGAGGCGAGAGGCGGCGCCAGCATGGGTGGCAGCGGCTGGCTCGATGAGCGCGAGATCTTCGCCGGGCATTCGCCAGGGCATGGCGCGGCCCCGGCGGCGCCGGGGCTCGAGGAGCGGGCAGCCGAGCTCCTTCAGAAGGACGCGGCCGCGTTGAAAGACTGGCGAAAGGCCAGGAGGGGAGAAGCGGCTGCTGCAGGGGGTCGCGCCCGGGGGTGCCACTGTGACTGCGCCGCTTGCCCGCGCGCGCGCGCGGCGCTGGCTCCGCCCCCTGCAGTTTCGGCCGGGTCGGGCGCGGGCGCGCGGGCCGCCGCAGCTGGGCGCCAAGGAGGAGAGGAAGGCCGCTGCCAAGGCGAGAGTCGCCGCTAAGGCAGCCGGCGCGGCGGGGCGACCTGCTGCGCCATTTTTCTCACGCGGTTGCGGCGGCTGGATGCCCCCGACCAGTTGCTGCTCGCTCGCAGGGGGGGCGCCCGCGGATCGCCCGGCGGTGCGTTTTGCTTATGGGCGACTGTTCCCTGTCTCAGGACCTTCTTCCGATCCTTCTAGGTGCTGGGTAGGGGGCCGCGCTCTTTGGGGCTCAGCCACTGGGGGCTTCAGCTAGTTCAATCTGGCGCGGCGCAAAGCGCGATCGGCAAAATAGATGGCCAAGAGAGGGGGTCCGCAGTCTGAATGAATGCTGTGGGAGGTCACAGGCGCGAAATCGCTCATGGCGTGGTGTTGACAGTTGCCCAGCGCAGCTGCACGCCGCCTTGCTGGCTTGCGCGGGTCGGCGAGCTTTCCAGACCAGCACCGCGATTCACTTGTGGCTTGGGCGACGTTGCAGGGGCTCCGGCCTGGCTGCTCTGAGTCAGAGTCGGAGGGTGACAGGGCGGTCTACCAGCCAGGCAAGGTTTCCTTGCCTGGCGGCGGCGCTGGGAATTCGAAGTTGGACGCGACCCCCCCCCCTGGCGCGCTGCGCTTGATGCTGGAGACTGGCCGCGGACTTTTGCGCGATCCTTCTGAGGTCGATCGAAATTTGAATCATGCGCTGGGAGTTTACGCTACCTTGACTCGAAGTTGGCGAGGAAGGGGCATGTTTGCGGCCGCGCCCTGTCGGAGCTGTTCGACGCGAGTGTGATCGAGCTCGACCCCGGAAACGCCGAGGAGGAGATATCGGGAGCCTTGAAACGGGGGTCAGTGCAAACGGGGGTCTGCCAGAGCGCCCGATCTTGCAGGATCCTGCAGGGCCAGAGTCGCATTGGCCCGGGCTTGGGCGCAGGATCTTGCAGGGCGCTGCAAGGCCTGACTGACCCGGGTCTGGATTGACCTGGGTCAGGTGATCCCCGAAAAGGGGTTTGTTTTTTTTTGTGCGGCGCAAAGATCACAAGCTGCGTTTGATTGCCGATGCGCGAGCTGCCAACGTACAGTTTTGCGAGCCCAGCTGCGCGGAGTTGGCAAGTCTCGAGGCCTTGACGGCCATCGAGCAGCAGTCGGACGACCTGGTAGGCTTCAGCTCAGGAGATGCGGAGGTTTGTTTCTACAAGTGCGAGCTGCCGCCCTGGCCCAGGCGCATCTTCACGTTGCCTGCACTGGAGGCCCAGCACCTGCCAGCGTCTTCGCGGCGCTGCCTCGGGCGGGCGCGCGACGCCCGCATGGTTAAGTTCAAGTTCCGCGTGGTCCCGATGGGCTGGGGCTGGGCGGCGCATCTCATCCAGCAGGGCCGCTTGCCCGCGTGGATGCTGCGCTGAACAGCCGGCGCTGGGCGCTGGGCAAGAGGCCCGGGGTCGACCTCGGCTCGGAGGATCCCAAGCTGCTCTACACCGATCACTTTGCCGTCGCCTCAGTGGATCAAGGACGCGCTGAGAGCGATGTCCGCGTGGTGCAGGAGGCGCTTGCTGAGCGGGGCGTGGTCAGCACCATCGACGTAACCTCGGGGGTGAAGTCGGAGCTGCTGGGCTGCGAGCTGGAAGGGCGCGCGGGCAGGTGGCGGATCCGCCCGAAGCGGTTCTGGCGGCTGATGGGCGCGCTGGCTTACCTGCTGGAGGCGAGACGCCCGGTGGCGGTGAAGGTCGCGGGTCTGGAGGTGGAGCGGCTACTGGGGCACGTCGTGGCGGCCTGTATGCTGCGGCGAGAGTCTCTGGCAGTGCTCTCTGCCTGCTGCACCTTTGCAGAGGCGTCGAGGGCAAAGCGTCGGCCGTTGTGACCTAACGGAGCTGTGCTGGGCTCGGGCGCTGCTGCCTTGCATCGTGGGCGACATGCGCCGGCGGTGGTCGCCTACAGTCGCCGCCTACGACGCGCCCCCATGGGGGCGCGGCGTCGTCGAGGCGGAGCGGGGGGCGGCATGCGCATATGCGCATGGGAGACTGTCAGAGCGCAGCCGCTTTCGAGGGTCGAGGGCCGCTTGCCGCGGCCCGAGCGCCGCGGGGCCGCGCGCTGGAGGCGGAGGTTGCCCGGGCGCCAGACGCCGCATTGGCGCTTGCTGGCCGCGCCGCCGAGTTCCCTGAGGTGAGCCCCGCGGCTTCGGTGAGCTCAGAGCGGCGCGCGGTGGGCTGCGGCCGCCGGCGACGCCGCGAGGCCATCCACTGCCTGGAGGCGGCGGCAGCCTGCTGGGCAGTGCACCGCGCGGCGAAGGATGCGCGGCGCCACAGTTTGCACCGCCTGGTCCTTGGGGGCAACATGTCAGTTACATCGTCTGCTGCTGACTCACCATCGTCTGCTGCTGACTTGTCGGGCCGTCTTCGCGCTCTGTGTTGTGGCAGACGTCAGAGCGCGCAGTCGATGGGCCCCATCAGAGCGGAACCCTAGTGATGAAGCCTCCCGTTGCAACCAGCCGCTTGGGCCCAAGGAGAAGTTCGAGCGGCAAGTGGCCCCCGCGTCTGGCGGGGCGGTGCGCGCGGAGGCGGGCGCTGGCGGGGCGCGCGACTGCGAGGTCCGCCCCCTGGAGTTCAGTCAGGCCGGGCCGCCGCGAGGCCATCGCGCGCCCGCTCGGCCAGCCGACCAGCCCCTGTCTCCCGCCGCGCCGCTACCAGGGCGCCGACGCTAGGGCTTGCGCAGGTTGCGCGGGTCGCGCGGCGATCG